TGCAGCCAACCGGAAACTCCGTACAGTTAGTCTTCAAGATTTGCCATTTACAAAACGCTTCTTGAGGTTTGTTGTGTGGTTTTGAGAGCTACTTATTTATGTGTGCTTATGGTGGCAATCCAATTTTCATAAATAATCACATTAAAGCACTTATAGAGTCCTATTCTCTCCCTATTAACCCATGTATAAAGTCCTATTCTCTTCAAAACATTCTGTTTGGTTCAGTGCTGCAATTTTATTTTATTGATTATAAAAAATTTGCCCTTTTACTTGTGTTTTTGTCTGATAAACCACTGATTATTACTGAACCTTATTTTCATAAGTTGAAACTCTTGAAAGAATAGGACCTAAGTCAAATAACAGCTTTGACCTTCAATTTTCAGTTTTTTGTTTTGCTCTTTATAACATTTTTCTTGTCAATTATCAAATCTCTTGTCAGGCACTGTAATTCATGGTTAGCTAATGATTAACACTATGAGGTTTTCCCTGTTAGGTATCTATTTCGAAGTGGTTTGTGCTGTCAAGTTTTAAAGCTGAGCTCTTCTAGTCTTCAGAAGCTTGACATGGTTGGAAGCTTTATGCAATTACGAAAGCTCAATTTGGACTTTTGCACCTCACTGACTACCCTACACAAGGATTGTTTCTCTAACATGCCCAACTTAATGCATCTTTCTATGTGTGAGACAAGAATTGCTAATCTCTGGACTACTACCACTGCCCTGTCTAAGCTTTCTTCACTTGTAGAACTTCGATTTCAGAACTGTTTGTGCTGCGAAGATACTGGTCCATGCCCTGCATATTCTACCAATAGATTTAGTTTTCATGTCAGCAACTCTGATTATTCCACTGGACAGACTAATACATGTTCTGATAATCTACAAAATTTAAGCTTATTGGATTTATCATCTGATTCCCATTCTGGTTTGAAAAAGGTAAGGATAACTTATGCTTGTCTAGGTATTTTTCACACCCGAATTACTGTTACACTGTTAATTTTTAATGAGTTCACTTACTATGTACATTTCAGACTTTCCGTGATGAGTCCAATGTACAAGATGGGTATGATTTTGACGTCAATGAAGGCGTAACAGTTGCTTCTGCAAGAAAGAAGTACATTTCATATTATCCTTCACCTTTATGCTTCGAGAAACATTACAGGGAGTTCACGATTGCTTCCTTGCCGCAATTAGAGGTTTTAGACAATTTACCTATTGCAAAGAAGGACAAAAAACTAGCTCAGGTGATACATTCAACATATTTTGAGTACTTGCCATATAAAGACATGCAGAAGAGAATGTTTCCCGCATCCTTCATAATCGTGAAATAGCATCCAGTAGAACTCCCTTTAAGTCAAAGCAATCTTCTTTCCATAGGAAGAATCAGTCTAGTTTTTCAAGGTCTCTTTGTGCAGCCAAGTTAGGTGCATCACCATGGCCACATTTAAATTCCCTCTCTAATATTAGCTTCGCTACAAATGAAGAGAGCAGGAGGTTCCGTCCTAGGCAATTTGAATATCATCCTTCCGACTCAAGCCTTATGGATTTTGGAACTTTGGATGGAGAAGTGGTGGTGATCAACCATGAGAATGGCAAGAAATTTGCTTACATGCCACCCTTGGGAGCAAGGAATAGCATTTTGGGTCTCTGTTGGCTTAAGAAGTACCCCTCCAAGGTATGGCACACGTTTTAAAGTGTCGATCATATTGAATAATGAATACCCCTTCTGCTTCCCCCCCCCCCCCCCAACCCCAACACACACACACACACAATTTGCATAGTTTTATGGTCTTTGAAGCATCAAATTTAGCACTGTAAAATACTGGCATGCATATTAAATTATAAATAGATTATTTGTGACAGTTTCTAAAATTAAGTTAATTAGATTGTCTTTACATTGGACTCCCTCTGTCCCATTAGATGCTATACATAGTTAATTTGAAAAGGCATAGAAAAACAGTAAAGAGGAATAACCTTAGAAGAATAAGCTTTGTGGCTTTGTGAATTATTTGTAAGATTTCAGGCAAATGAAAATAAGGTGAAAATAGGGCATATGGAATATAAATTAGTTTCTCTATATTATTCTATCCTGTTTCATAATTTCAGACTGTTTGGGTGAATAGGATGAGCTAATAAAATAGCTGTATGGTATGACCAGGTACTTGCTGGTTCTGATAATGGTATTTTAAGATTGTATGACATCAGTAAAACTTCGGCAAAGGGTGCAAATTCCTGTTATGATGGTGTCTTTAATGCCTCTGATAAGTTTGAGCAGTTGACTTCAGTTCATATCAACTCAACTGATGAAATGCTTCTTGTGAGTGGTTACACGAGAAATGTAGCCATGTATGATATGGTTACTGGAAAACGCTCACAGTTATTTAGTAATCTACATCAAGAGCCCATTAATGTTGCCAAGTTTTCCCATCTCTCTCCATTTATGTTTGCGACTTCATCATTTGATCATGATGTGAAAATGTGGGATATTAGACAAAAAATGGTTCGACCTTGCTATACTGCTACTAGCTCAAGAGGCAATGTGATGGTTTGCTTCTCCCCTGATGACCAGTATCTGCTTGTGTCAGCTGTAGATAATGAGGTAGTCTTCGTAAATGGATTTACTGGCTCTTATCTGAACTACATGGATCTTATATGAGTTTGACAGTTGACACTTATTAAACTTATTTAACCTGAATATTATGTTAAAGTAAAAAGAACAAAACTTGTGACCTTTTGAAATTGATTGCCTAGGTGAGACAACTTTTGGCTGCTGACGGGAGACTGCACACAGACTTTGGTATTGCTTCAAGTGGAAGTTCACATAACTATACACGTTCATATTACATGAATGGGAGCGACTATATTATTACTGGCAGTTCTGATGAACATGTTGTCCGCATTTGCTGTGCTCAGACAGGAAGGCGACTGAGAGATGTTTATTTTGAGGTAACTCTTGAATTACAAATTTTCAAGCATGAAAACATTCCATTTGTCTGGAATTCATATCAAGATCATATATAGTACTTTAGAATGTCCAGGAAATGTTATCTTACCATGAATATTATACATCTTTATGAATGGGTTTTATATTAAGCTCTTCTTCAATTGAGTGATGGAGAGAAGATAGCATAACCACTAGTATAGAGGGGAAATTTGTTAGATCATGTAATATCCTTAATTGTGAGAGGTTGGGGCTTGGGAGTTGGGACAATTTTACAACTTCTTCCAGATCGTAAGACTTTTAGTTTCTTTATTCATCCCTGTACTCAATTTTTTTCCTGGATGATTTGCAGGGGAAGGGCTCAGACAAAGCAATGTTCGTGCAGTCCTTGAGGAGTGATCCTTTCAGGGTAAACCTTTTCTGTTCCTGCTGTAATCTTTTCTCTGCGGATAAACAAAAATAGAGAGGATATTATTGGCCTGTAGGGGTATAGGTAATTGTGAATCTGTATATCTGACGATTTTGTTTTATTTTGTAAATGGCAGCCGTTCAACATGAGTATCTTAGCTTCTTATGCGCAATCAAACTCCAAGTGTGAAATAATCAAGGTAATTTTGTTTATGCAAGTTTTCTCTGGCTAGTATACGCGGAGTTGTGGATTCATGGCTTGTAAACATTCTTAACTTTTACCATGCTTTGGCAGGTAAATTTGCTATCATCTAGTGAGGAAGGTGAAGACGATTCTTACTTACAGCAGTCCTGCCCGTCTTTTAGCCTTGGTGGTTGATCCTAGTAAATATATATCATACTAAGTTTGCAATGTATAATGGTATAAATTTCATCTGCAATTCTACATAATTACATCTTCATATTCGAAGGTCATTGCTGAATCAATTTGTAGTACCATGGCCTCTGCATCTCAGGTCAGGATCAAATCTTCCTCAGAAGAATTGAGATAGCTTGTAAATAGGTTTCCTGTATGAATGTGTTGTTGTACATTACCTTATTCCATATAAATATACAAAGTATTTTTTCTACTCTGTATGTTATAGATGCGGAGATTATTAATTGATCATATAAAATTGCATACAATATATACAACACCTTTTCTTTGTAGATGAAGTTGGCACTAATTCAATGTTGACATCCTTTCCCACCAAATTATAAATCACTCACCACTCACCAATTGTTTGCAAACTTCATTACACATTTGGGTGTACCTAGAGCTAAGAACATCAATTACAATATCAACCGGACTGTCAAAAGATTGTCTTCAGAGATAAGCCCCATACCCTAAAGTACAGAATCATGAATGCAGGTTCCGCAAGAACTGCCCCTAAAAGAGGCAGGCTGTGTATTACAGTAATGCAGGGGTGCCATAACCTCATCGTGAGGACGCGCCAAGCAGCACGGATGCTAGGGCAGCTGTTTATTTAGACACTTCAAGTAGTGTGCAAGGTACACGATTTTCCCTTATTTAAGGACACGCTCATGCTACATTCAACCTTATGTGCGCTACAAAATTTGGCATATGCACGAACGCATGCATATGACTCATTAATGTTCACTGAACGAGAGCCAAAGTTCCAAAAAACCTGAAGGACAACATAGGACCACCCTTCTATGTGTTGTCATATTCGGCATGTGATCCCATGTTCATGTATATCTTGAGCATATTGCAATTTTATTTTTTTTCTGATTGAAATTGTCCGAGCCTTTAGGAAATTTTGGAAACAACATATGAAACATATAGAATCACTCACGCATCGCGTTCATAATGGGCTAGTAACTATTTTCTAGAACGTAAAAGTCTGTCTTTTCTTGATGAAATTATATGGATTTCTTATTTACTTTTTACGTAGAAACTTTTGTTGGGTTGTATGTACAATGTCAGATATTTGGATATGAACATATCTTGAGCACATGAGCTCGCATTTATTGTACATAGTGATTTAAAATTTACGTAACAAATATAGTCCCTTTCGGTATGTAGCCTGAACTTGTTGTGTCTATCTCATATTCATACCATGATGTATACATTTGGACGCTCTAAAAATACAGGGGTCCTTAGTTTGGCCATGTGTAGTATGCTTTGAATGACCTAATCTTATACACCGTACTGTTGTCTCACTCTCAGCTAATATATCCCCATTATAAAGCCTTACAACTCCAAGTCAAGAAACCAAATTAAGTCTTAGTAAAGATTGCAAAGACATCAAAGAAAAATGAAGCTTGTTATTGCAACTCTGTCAATTGTTATTCTTGTTCTTGCCTCATCTTTTGTTCATCCATCCATGGCTCTTAATGATGCAATCAAGCCTAACACTAGTAAGTGGTTTTCTATCAAGTACTATATGCTTAATTATTGTATGCATTTCCTTAGACAAGACTAGAATAATAACTTTTGAAGTCAATTTTGAACATTGATCTTCATCATTATATGCACTACTATTATATTTATAGTTAACAGTCTTAACACTAAAAGCATCATAATTCTATGAAAATATATTTTATGTTTCTAGTAATGTTGTATGGACAAAGACAAGTCTCGTGTATTAATGACAATAAAAACGTTTATAATAGAGTTTGAACTCAAGACTAGCAATAGTTACAAATCTTATTATTTCACACTCAATATCATTACGCCGTATATCTAACTTGTACTACTAAAGGGTGTTATGTGTTTTTTTTTTTTTTTTTTTTTTTCCCAATAGTTTTTATCTAATCTGCTAATTTTCATTACTTAGTTCATATGGAACTCAAATACTACAATATGATATTTAAAATAATAGCCTCTAGTTTGAGTAATTTTGCAAGCATTAGTTGAAGTTGTAACCCAAAAAAAGCCAGTTTTATTTAAAGGAAGTGCCTTGACTGGTTTAATTTGTCAAGATCTGTTTCTCTCTTCATTTAGCTGAAAGCTTGAATATTGTTGATTTTGGAATGTAGATCTGGATTGTGGTTCAATGTGTGGTGCGAGATGCAGTAAAGCAGGACATGAAGGCTGTATGAAATTCTGCCAAATTTGTTGCCAGAAGTGCAATTGTGTACCATCAGGGACCTATGGCAACAAACACCAATGTCCTTGCTACAGAGATATGAGGAATTCTAAGGGCAAACCCAAGTGCCCTTAAGATTTTTCGCAGGATAAATTTAGATCTCGTCACCTTTCCCTCTGTCCGCAAATTATTGTCACTATAATAGTCGTATATTTGTTTTGAATTATGTATGGGCATAGGTTTAATTAGTATGCTTTAAAGAGTAAATTATGTACGGTATGTTTCACTCGAAACTCCGAAATAAATAAATTGGTGTCACTCAACATCATTTTACTCATATGTACCATTTTGTATTAATGAATTTCATATTATATTGGTAATTTGTGTAACATGTATAAGTAATATAAACTGATTTCTTACCTAAACTTCATTTTTACAAGAACAAACTTAATTGTCTAACAGTTAGGCAACTAACAAAGAAGTGAAATGACAATAGTCGTCTTACATAGATTACGTACCTAAACCTTACTACAATTTTCTCGTTTCGTGTATTTAGCTACTTATTTAGCTAAGCAAATCGTCCTACTCTTTTAAGAGTACGTATTAAAAGTAAGATTAATTGCTTGAGTGTACTGTATACAATATGTATTTGCTTGAGTCACAACTCAGACGACATACGGTGTCCTGTGTAAGAAAATTTCTGTTGCAGTGCCTAATAGCCGAACATGTGTTAATAATTGAGCTTTCTTAGTATTTCTTCAGCTATATAATCAAGTCCATAGTAATTAGAAGTAAAGCTACAATTCCCCATAAAATCAAAGAAAAATGAAGCTTGTTTTTGCAACTCTGTCAATTGTTTTCCTCGTTCTTGTCTCATCTTTAGTTCATCCATGCATGGCTCTTTCTGATGCAATCAAGCCTAACTCAAGTAAGAAGTCTTTTCATCAAATACAATATGCTTAATTTTATGCACTTTCCTTGAACAAAGATAATCTAGTCTCTATGTAAAACTTGTGTGACTTGCTTGAATTGGTAGGTTTTTTTTTTTAGTTAGCAAATATTATTGGTTCAACAATTAGTTATAGTTTATGGAAAATGAAAAATTTGCCATTCAAAAGATTTCTATATTGTATACGAGTAAATGCACATTCAGTTCAAAAATTATACATATAAATGCACATTTTAACAACTTCAAAAGAAGCAAAGTTATTTGATGTTTTATGGGAGTGTTTGACTACTATCTACTGTAGTAGACATATTAGTTAAATTCTAGTACCGAAAAATTCAAAAAAATAAAAAATAATGAAGGGTTCCTGATTCCTAAATTAATATTTCAGAATTTCAATTTCTCTCCATTTACTTAACTAGCCTTTGAAATTAAAGACTGAATGCTGGAATTTAATTGATTCTGGAATGCAGGTTTGGACTGTGACTCCAAGTGTGGGGTGAGATGCAGTAAATCAGGACATGACCGATGTCTAACATTTTGCCTCAAGTGTTGCCTTAAGTGTAATTGTGTACCATCAGGGACTTATGGCAACAAACATGAATGTCCTTGCTACAGAGACATGGTGAACTCTAAGGGCAACCCCAAGTGCCCTTAGGGTCACTGTATTACTGAGAATAACAACTTGATCTATCGTCTCCCCTCCCTTTGTCCGGAAATAATTGTAACTACGTTAGTATTTTTTAAATTATATACGGACATAGGAAAATATGTTCTTATGAGTAATATTAATTATGTACGGTATGTTTCACTTTAAACTCTAAAATAAATGCTTTGGTGTCACACGAACATCATTTTTACTACCATTTGCACAATTACGTATTTCTTGTAGTACTGTTGGTAATGTAATTTCAAAATAATACGGAGTACTTCGTATCATCCTCTAATCAGAAGCTCAGGTTTACAGGAGCAAGGCTAATTGTCTACAACAGTTGAGCAGATAACAGGAGGTGAAATGTCAAAGATGCTCTTACTTGTCCAACTTGACCTAACAGAACAATTTACATCCTGTTAGTTGCCTAACTATCAAGGCAAATACTTTGTATACTTTTTCTTTTACACAATATTCACAGAAGATCAAACAATTCAGAACAACTAATTTTATACCATGTATTTCTCAACTGATTATAAAATAAAGTTACCACATATGACATAACAAAATTTCAGGTATACGATCCGCCTGCTATGTCATTATAAGCTGCTTGTAGGTTTCTCAAATGCTGCAGAATCCTGTTAGCCTGCAATACATCAAAAGAATTGATTAATAACAAATCGCGATACACAAAGATTCATAATCACCCCATTTTAATATAATTGGGGCCGTTTTGAGTGTTTCTTTTGGATATTGAGGTTCGAACATGGACAAGGAAATTCAATATGGGACGGAAGGAGTAAGAAACGATCACAAAAATTTGTACCGTACCTTTTCTTTGGCCCTTGAGGTTCCGGACATGGACAAGATTACTAAAGGTGGCACAGCTCCTTCTTCTAACACCCTTCTGCAGTATCTATTACTGTCTGCACAAAAATGCACAAGTGCTGCAGCAGCATTCTCTTTTCCCCTGGGTGAACCTAACTCAACCGCCTCAACAAGAAGAGATATCCCCCCTGCTTCGGCTATAGCCTTTCTCCCTTCAGGACCCGAGGCAAGATTTGCTAACACAACCACTACCCTGTCGACCATCCCAGTTGCAGGATCCATCAAGTCTATCAGATGTTTTACAGCACCTGATCTCACTATTGTAAGCCGATTATCAGTACATGTAGACAAGTAGAACAAAGCAGTGGCCGCGTCCTTCCTACCACGGGGTGTTCCATTCCCTAACAAATCTACCAAAGCACCAATAGCTCCTGAATTCCCTATCCTAATCTTATTCTCTTCAAATACAGATAAACTATAAAGAGTTGCAGCTGCATTTTCTCGAGCCTCATCGGTCCCTGTCTGAAGGACATGGATCAAAGGCTCAATCGCCTCAGCTTTTACAATGTTGACCTTATTGTTGTTACTGATAGACAAGTTCAGAACAGCTGTTACCGCGTTTTCTTGAGTTATCATGTCTGAACTACGAAGGAGGTCAACCAAAGGGCTGATAGCCCCACAACTCGCTATCAATATTTGGTTGTCCAAGTCCTTGGCTAAAATCCGGAGCTCAGAGGTGGCTTCCCTTACTGTCTCAAGTGCAGTACTTTTCAGATTTTCTATTAATTCCTTTACATGGGTCTCAAATCTTGCAGCAACCTCATTTTGACCTTCCCTTGCAGACAAAGGTACAATCATGGGTGAAAGTCCCATCGACTGAACTCGAATTTTAGGATTATATCTTTTCCTTTCTTTTTGCTGAGTGCCTGTTGTTGCTGGTGCAGGAAGATTTTGATCCTTGGTTTCTTTTTGCTGAGTGCCTGTTGTTGCTGGTGCAGGAAGATCTTGATCCTTAGCCATCATGCCTAATTCATTGATTTTGCCGGCTTCTGATGAATTGTGCAATTGCTGCTGATTGACATCTCCAGCTATATCTTGTTCTAAGTCAGTGTATGAAACCATGATGGACTAATTTTTGAGGGACTTTTTATATATAAGCTTAATGCCTCTATATTCTTCTTGTGCACATGTTCTGTACCAAAACAACACATATCACCATCTTTCTATGCTATCATGAATTATGATCAGTATACAACGCGCGACACGCGAGAAGAATTAATCATGCAGGAAGCCTATTAAACCTTTGATTTATATGAGTATTGAGTAGGAATTACAAATTAATGAAATATATGCAATTGCAACTAAATTCTCAAAACTACTCGTTATATTTCTCCATTCCCCCTTAATTTCTTCTAATTCAAGTTTATGAAATTGAGACCTAGAAAACTACTTATACATGAGATGAAATAATGCAACTGATCCAAGTTTCAAAAAATTAAATATCATAGTATACATATTGATAGAGATTACCCACAGAATATTTTCGACCTCGGAAACTAAGTAGATACATAAACAACCGCATTTCTAGCATCCAATACCACGAAAATAAATCAATAATTCAAGGCTCAAACAAATTGAACGACAAGAAAATTAATTTGCAATCAAACAGTGAAACTCTGAATAAAATAAAATAAAAAAAAATGTCAAATTAGCAAACAATTAGTACAATAACACAAAGTTATAATCAAAGAAATAATCTTTTAGTTCAGATTAATCAACAATTACAGGAGTATTTAAAACAGAATAAAGAAAGAAGTAGAACTACCTGAAAGTGAAGAACAAATAAGCGAAAATGGCGAAAGAAACAAAAGAAGAGAGAAAGATAGACTTTTCAAACACGTCGAGTTATACTTATACCGTGTTTTAGTTGTTGTACTAAATTTCCCGTTTATATAAAAAGTGCTTTTTTTGTGGGAAGACCTTGACTAAAAATGTCAACAAGCTAAGCTACTCGTATTAAAAAGCTACAACAACTTATCTTAAATTTTCTAGGTTGTTCTAATGTTCACCCAATTTTGTTACGAACTGCCAAGGAAATTGTGTGATTGCTGGAATTATAAGGTAGGAAAACTGAGAAAATTTATTTTCTATTTTCAATTGTGTTGACGCATGCTCCACAATTAGTCGTCTATGTGATTGGAATTAAGATATTACATTTCATATTGAAAGTGCGATAATTATAAGACTTTTAGTGGTTTTGTCAATTAGTTAACTTTTGTATGCTTCGTATTTCTCATAAGTCATAAGTATACTCTTTACATTTTAATCAAACAATTACCAAGTATAATTGAATCTTTTTAAAGGTTGCTTAATTATTTTTTTATTTGATGCCGATTAGTCAATTCATCAAGGATTATAAACTCATTTTGTAAAATTTTACTTAATATTATTACTACCAAAGAAAATGATGCATTGACGTCAAAAAAAAAAAAAAAAAAAAATATGATGTATGATAAGCAAGCTCAAAGGAAGGGAAGTTCATAAACATGTATAAGCTCTACACCAACACTCATATCTTGGTCTAGTAGAAAGGAGAGCACCTTCCAACTATGAAGTTGGAGGTTCAATCCCCATAATGACAATTTGGGGGTGGAATTCCCTTGCCTTCCCTGGCAAGTTATATTACCATAGAGCGTGTTTGGTCTTATAAGCAGCGTCATCAATTACATAATCACCATTATACAAAGTCGGTATCAAAACTTTCTACTCTTAAAAATTGAATTTCTAAGTTCTCTAGAAGTCCTCTCCACTTATTAAAAGACTTCTAGCCTTTTAGGTCTTCTTTCGAGTCCTCCTAAGCCACTAAACCACATAACATTATTACTTTTGTGACTCTGTTTCAAAATAGTATTGTCATTTTTCTAATCACTATCATGTCATTTATCGAACTATGAGGAAACAAATTGAAAGATATGAACTTGGGGTCTGGTAATATTTAAGCTCAAAAACAAATACGAGTACTAGTATTTAGAGCTATTGTCACACACCCAATCCAAAGAGATGTAAATCATGTAATACAGAGTACTATTCAGGATACTTAAGAGCTGGGAGGACAAAAGAAATGCACTTGATAAAAAGTCATGTAACAATAACAGAAGAAACATTTGTAAACTATTGATGATTTCATCATGTATTAGAAATTAAGAATTTATCTACAAAACGAAGACTGGCAATAGTTTAACTCTTCTAGGCATTTTGCGTTAATCAAGGACAGCTCCCTCGTTAATTAGGCATTAAACTTGTATGTATTCTACCTTGCTCTACAATAACAAAATGCTACAAGCAAAATCTTGGAAGTAAAAGAATGGGAGAATAGCTCATTATTCGTTTACAATGGCTGGAGTTCTTGCTCAGGAACAACAGTATCGCTATCAACAGGCTTGTATTGTATTGTTGTTTGCTGCCTCCATTTCCGAATGAACCAAATCCCATAAACAGATATACCCAACATCAGTGAAGCAATAACTGCCATGACCACTAGCAAGTAATGTTGATGCCACCAACTCCTGCATCAAAAGAATCAAATTAAGGAGAGCAGAAAATATACAAAACTTGGCTGAAAGAACAAGGTCAGTTTCCCTACGAAGAAAACAATTTTTTTGCCACAAAAACTACATGCATAAGCTTTCTTTCATCATCAATTGCATACTGAGCAGTGACCTCAAAAGCCAAAAAAAAAAAAAAAAAAAAAAAAAAGAAACCTTGATTAGAACTTTAATTGAATTCTGAGATTCATTGCATTGGTACTCATGCCACTAAAAAGTAAACACATGAGATCATGGAGGTGAAATATGACAAAGGGAATACTTCAATATTAGCAGAAACTAGAGCAATCAGCACTTCATTGAAACATCACGAACAAAATATACAGAAATACTTGAGAAGATCCAAAAACTATACTCTTCCAACTGTATGGAATATAGATATTACAAAATCACAGACTAGTAAAGTCGCAAAATACAGAATGGTCAGAGAAAGAATAATACACACATGCATACTGATTATTAAGTATGCAGGGGGAAAATACACAAGAAAAACACAAACCAGCATATTCAAGATATTAGGGAAACTGAAATAATGACTTTACCGTTTCATAGGAGGCTCAACCTTCCAATTAGCCAGCGTATAACTGCCAAAGGTTTCTGGAAGTTGAACATTATGTTCTGCTAAATGGGCAATAATATGCTGCAATGATAATGATCAAATCAATATTAGGAAATAACAATCCAGCTTCCTTCAAAATTAAAATCTTTCATCAAAAACAACCTACCACTGCAGTTGTGTTTGCTATATAATTGGCAGATCTTTCCGGATAGATTCCCCATGTTATCAGGGAACCATTTCCAGACGAAGTCAAATTTAGTAAATGAACCTGGAGAAACCAACAAAAGAGCTCTTTACCAAATAAATTAAAACAACAAAAAACAAGTGAAATGCTGTTTGCTTTAAAAATATCTTATGGTACTCCCACTATTAGACACATTGAAGACTGTTCCCACATGATGAAAAGCAAGAAGATTATTGGACTGCAAATAAAATTTCCTGAGTAGAGCTCAAGATGTAAAGTGATGTCTTAAACCATTCTATAGCTAGAGGGGAAAGTGCAGTCGCAAAACTTTGATTACATCTTAGCTCCAATAGAATTGTTAACGAAAGATCAAATTTATGCTCAACTCACTTGTAATGTATTGACTCCCAACTCTTGAGCAATGAAGCCAGATAGCTCTGATATGCGAGGCTTCAAGTCCGAGTCTTTAATGCTCAAAGACATATCAAATGTAATGAATCCAACTTTTACCTCTCCTGAGATTAATGAAATCAATGAAAAGAGACGTCAACAAACATATAAACGTGTAACAAAAACTCTAATTTACAAAGTTGATGAAATATTGACATTTGAACAAGTCATTCTAATGCAATAAATTCTTCGGTCTAATACCACAACAAAAGAAGGAACACTTGGTGAATGTACCTGGAATAGCATAACTTGGCACTCCCTTAGGTGCTGGTGCTGGTCCTGAAGCTGATGCTGATGCTGGTGTTGGTGACAATCCTGGAGGGGAAACCTCCCCGTTTAATGGGGCAGGTGCAGGTGCGGGTGTGGGTGAATCATCAGTCACACGAAGTCCCTCCCATAACTCAGAGCAATTTGTCTTCCAAAATCCAACTTTCAAGTGTTCACGGTCATATGTCACGAGAGTATTACGGACAACAATTCCTATAATTTAAGCAAAAGGACATTGCGAGACTGTTAGCACAAAATAAACAAAACATCGAAACTCGAAAAAAACCAGAAAAGATTTAAATTAGAAGATCAGATAAATAGTTAAGCACACAATACCTCCTAAAAGAGTTGTGGGATCTTTCCCGTTCTGAAAAACTCCAAGGCAATACGCACCAGGCACCTTTGAATGCTGAATAAGGAAGTAATATGTGAGCATGAGATAAATTCTAATATAAATCAGAAGTTTAACTACGTCATACTATCCCCATCCTACTATTTAAACCTGAAGTTTGCCTAGAATTGAACGTTGTCAAAAGTTTTTTCTTAAAAAAAAAAAAAAAGAAACAAGCCAACAAAAACAAGGAATAAACCACCAAAATCACCTTAAATAAATAGTTTTCCGGTGATAGTGAATATTTTAGACCATTTTCAAAGACCATATCAACAGCAGGGAATGTCTTTGAAAGTTCGGAAACCTTTCTGCAGAAACACAAGTATGACAGAAATTTAAAATTTGGGATAGAACAACTGCTAGTGTACAAGTCATCAGTGGTATAAACTTACCTTCCAGCACCAGAAAAGCAAACATCATTATAATTGGGGTCAGGTCCACGAATTTGCTTAAGGCCATGGAGTTCACTAGTTAACTGCATTAACATCACGCATAATAGTTAATTGACATATATTGTAGAAAGATACAGCATCCTCTATGCTTACATGGTTAAGAAAAGGATTATATATAGTTCCAAATCAAACTCCAAACCTATTCTTTGCATAATTGATAGTTAATAAACCTAAGACACTCCTCTCCTCACTTTCTCTATGTAATTCAATTATAAATCAGAATATAACCCTATTCTTAGCATAATTGAGTGGTCAATAAACCTAAGACACTCCTCACTCTCTTTCTCTCTAAGACATTCTTGTTTAATTGCTCATATAGTCGAATTGCAACAAAGACATGACTTACAATAATAATCCCTCCGTTTTTAAAATTGGTCTACCTTCTACTTTCACTTTCCCCAACACAGAACTTAAACAATTGATATCCTTACATATCTATTACGGAGTAGTAAAAAATATAAATACATAATACTATTTGTATTTATATATTACTCCGTAATAAACAGATTTAGTCAAAGCAAGATATATGAATAGAACAAAAATTAAGGAAGGGGGGGGGGGGGGGAGAATAGATTCTACAGTGCATCTTCAAATTGCAAACTTATTTTGTCATCTCATCTAGAATCAGAAATAGTAAAATGCTAACAGACAAGTCGTTAGTAATAAAAAGAAAAAGAAAAAGAAAAAAAAAAAAAAGCTTACCGCACGCTTAAATGCCACAAATGCTGCTTCTGGCAGATACGCATATGTTGTACCACTATCCAGAACAGTTCCATGTTTACCATCAAAAACCTTCGGATCAATAGCCAGCTTCTTCCCAGCAACATGTAATTCCTTCAGCTCAATATTGTAATATGGACTGTTGGCATCCAGAAACTAGAGTAAATGTGTCAGATATTAAGGAAAATATATAAAGTATTATACAATTATTTAGTCCTTTCAGCTCATACCTGCGGTCAGGGTCAGAATGGCTGAAGACCATGTCGGAGGGGGGTGACAAAGAGCCAAGAATCATAGCACCACCACCAATACCCATCCCGCCATAACAAAGTGAGAAGGAATCACCAATTACACTTTTATCAACAAGTTGATCAACAATGCTCAGATCACCCCGACCCAAACCCATTATACCATCAGCATGCTGACTGTACAGGTCACCGGTTTCCGCATTTTCACAACCAAAAACTGTACGCTGGGGTTTAAGCTCACTCTGGTTGCCAAATGATACAATATCTTCACCAAGAACGCCGCTGCTAGAACTCATTTCAGCATACTGTCTCTCATATACACACTGAGCATTCTCAGCATCACATGTACAATCAGGATTGCATTTAACGGGGTGGTAGGTGGTTGAAAGATCTGGTTGGAACTTTGGGTCCTACAAATTATATTAAAAAAAAAAAAAAAAAAAAAAAAAAAAAAAAAAAAAAAAAAAGAGGTAAAGCAATTAAGCAAAGAACCAGTGATAAACAGATAAAAAAAATTAAGAAGAAAGGAAACAAAATTATCCAACACACCCTTTACAGAACCAGGGGAAGTAAAATCATCTAGTTTTGTTTCATAGAAAGTGCGCAAGAATGGCAAAAGGAAACAATTGGAGAATGCAACACCTAGGCATGTATTACAAAAGTAAATAAATGAGGAAAGAAAGAAAACAAATGATATACTCCGAATGTTCACTAGTTTTTATCATATACTACGTGGAAAGCACGCACAGGAATTACAGGGAGAAACCCTAGAAGGATGCAGCACCCAAGCATGTAATTCAAATGAGAACAAACAAAAAAAAATATAGTATACATATTCCTACAGAAAGAATTCAAGCAAAGTATCTAAAATTCAAATCTCTTGCCTCAACACATTATGTCTAGTTTTTGACAACCATACTCTAGGATGACTATATTTTTTATATGCTTCGAAATTACAATTGGATAGTTACAATCCAAAAATCCTATCTTTCAGCGAGTATGGTTATATAGTTTCATTAAAAGCAACTCAGTTACCCAACTAGAAGATCATTACACGTAATTAACCATACATAAGCCTACACCCACCCTCCGATTTTGGTTAGTTTCAACCCAAAAATCCAATGTTTCTGCAAGAAAGGTAACATAAAGCAGCTCGTTTTCCAAACTAGAAGATGCTTACACATATTTATCCACACATAAGCCTACACCCTCCAATAATTAGAAAATTTCACAAAACAACAGCCACATCCACATATTGCACACTCAGATATCATCATATAAATGGAACTAGAGCTTGCATTCTTGGAAACCAAATTAACGGATAAGCTAGATAAGTTTCTAAATTAAAACCTGTATGTGGGATTGTGGGAATGCTGCATGAGTAGAATACAATAAGTATAAAGCAATAATTATATAAATGTCACATTACATGTATTCAATATCATCATCACGACGAATTCCCAAATGGAAAGTATGCTCATAAAGTTATACCGTCAGCTATTATGTCAACTTCCACATTGATATAACTCCATAATCCGAATTTAAATCCATTTCTAAAATTGGCTCCGAATAATCACATAGTGGCAACAAAATGTAGAGCAGTGAAGCTTCAATTTCACGTTTATTATAATAACTAAAACAGAAATAAAGTATTGCTTGTAAAGCACTGAAACAAATTAATTTATACATTATCAATCTATCCTTTTCAGATCCACCAACCATCACTACCAAAGTTAATCCAAATTCTACTAAGTTCCTCCCAATCAGATCACTCACATTCATAAATTAATCATAATCAACAAAAAAAAACGAATTTAACATAAAATTAAATAAAAATTACAGTAAAATACCTGATGATTTCCACATTGATCACAATCAGAGCAAGGAACATAAGTAACAGTACTTCCTGTATCTACAATCAACGCGAATTCTTGCGGTGGAGTTCCTATATACAATCTCGTCGTATAATACCTAAAAAAAACCCCCAAAATTATTGAGTTTCCCCTAAAATTGAAAAAATGGGAGAATTTCACATATTATACATACCCATTAGAGAGGAGATCGTCGAAGAGATTCATACGAGCATTAATAGGAACACGTTTAGCTTGAAGAAGACGCCGGAGTTTAGCGCTAGGAATTTTCCGGGAAAGTGAGAGAGGCAGAATTAGCGGCGATGTACGGCGGAGATTGAGGTCGTCGGAGGTGGAATTTACGGCGGAGGAAACCGAAAATGCGGAGGTGAGGAGAGAGATTAGGAGGAGGAAGATGGTGGTGGTGGTAACGGCGGCGAATCGGAGCCGTCGCCGCGTCATGGTGAGTTGGAGTGAGTGAAATGCGGGATGTTTGAATCAGGGGAACTGGAAGGATGTTGAAGCTTCAACAAAAGTTGGAGAGAGATTGAGAGAGATGTACTTATATTTGTTGGACGGTTGCGGATTCAAGTACTGTACTCGTATAAAGTTAGGTGATTGACGCGGCATTTTTTATATACGAGTACACTGTAATTTTTTTTGATAATATGTACTGTACTATTTAATCTACTAGTTTTTTTGTTTTGTTTTTTTTTTTTTTTTTTTTAATAATAAATGAATGTACTAATGCAAGATTTGGATCTATTCAAAAAAAAAAATGCATAATTTGGAAGTGTGATTAGGGTATAAGTGGATAACAAGAAGCACTGCTACAACACTTTCCTTTTAAAAAATAGTTTATTGATGACCGAACTATAGATATCTGTATTTTGAGAAAATTTTATAATGATTAGTTGTATAATATAATCTCATTTTGAGATTACTTCATGTGATTATACTCTTTGCTCGTCTTATGAACTTTTATCCATCTTGAATTCTTGATATCTCTCACCAATTATTATGAATGAAGTACACATGCTTTTGTTGAATTAGCAGGAATAACAGTGTGTGGTGATAGTTGTTGAAGGAAATATCTACTAATAGCCTATAGTTACAGGATCTTGGTTAAATAATTTACAGTATGTAGAGTAATTCTACGGTTAGATATGGTACTAGGTCATATCAGCCTGATATATGAACTCGAAAATGGCTCACCAAACAATAGCACAAAGCAGATACAACTCGACACCACATTTTGCATTCGTGCATGTTAGTATATAACCTTGTAGAATAACATTGCAAACTCCAACTAAATACACTTATTTTACTCTTGTTCGAATGACAAAAAATCTTTCAGTAAGTGGAAACTGAAGCCAGTAATGAACAACCCCAAAAAAAGAAAAAAAATTAGGCGATGATATACCCCAATATTTATTATCCACTTCATTTCAGGAAGTTTGTAAAAGAACATGTGCCTTTGCGTACAAAACTCCTTTTCACATGGAAATTGCAACTTCACGGTATAAATGCTTCAGTTCTAAAAAAAAATAATCAACACTCAACATAGAGAAGTTGCAACTAGCAAACAGCATCTTACAAGAAGATACAGGGGCTGCAATAACAATCTGAGGGTATAATTTTTAAATAAAAGGCAATACGCAAAAACCTTTTAACACAGATGAAAATAACACAAACTGTAGCCCCCTAACAACACGTTACTGCTTGCACAGCGGTGAACCACAACCCTTAAAGTACTGGCTCAGCAATGATCTGATACAAAATGTACCTTCCTAACACACGTAACTGCTTGCCTAAAATCCTTTGATAATCAATTAAAGCTAGACTAAGTTGGATCTAATGTCATTTGAATCTTAGGCATATGGTTGGTGTGATGGTTGCAGATTAGAGCCATAGCTAGGGGCAGCAGGAGAATACGGGCCTCTGGGCCTGGTATCTTGCGGATAATATAACCTTTGATCAGTGGCTTGAGCAGCATAAGGAAGTTGAGCAGTAACGGTATAGCTATGAGGAGTTGGAAAAGCAGGATTGTACCTCTCTGGTCGTCCAGTTACTCCCGTATATGCTGCCCTTGGTGGTGGGCCATGTCTCCCACGGCCAAATCCCCGAGCTCGTTGGCCCTGGAATCCTCTATCAAATCGCGGCTTTTTTTTATGTTGGTGATGACCGGTTTCAGCTGTCCTCTTAGTATCACCTCTGACAGATTTGTCTAGCTGGGCAACCCTTTTATGGAGTGGATCAAGAGGGTAGTCAGCTTCAAGTTTATATTGTTCCACACAGGCAATGACTGCCCTCAATGCTTCAAGTTCTCGAGAATTGTAGTCATTCTGAATATGACACAGAAATTTCAGCAATCAGAAGCTGCCAACGAAAACCTCATAGATGGTTCTAAATACAGCTATAATGCTAAATCACTTCTTTGTATCAATGTGTTAATACCTGTAAGGCAGCACTGCCATTTCCTTGTGAGTTTCTCCTTAGCTCTTTCAAATATGCTCTCAAAAGAGGAACAGGAGGGAAAGCCTCAGAGAGCTTGAAAGCATGAATAAAATGTACTGCATCAATTTGCCTCCCATTACTTATCAGTGTATCAACCAAACCTGCAAAAGAATTAAGAGCTCAAAGCCTCAAATGGGTACACTTCTAAGTTCTGAAGAGTAGCAACTTTTAACAGTTTAACAATAGATAGGCACTTTAAACAATAAAAAGGCCATATAACCAACAAAACAGACTACATTACTTGGGGGAATAAACCTATAAAGAACATTGACGCATATCTTGTCCAATCTTCAGAGACAGGACGGTTGAAAGAATACCAACCTGGTATCTTTTGTGTCAAATCAAGATAGCGGCAGAGCTCAGTTGCCTGCCTGTGATGAGCAACTGCAAGAACATACTTGCAGAGTTGTCCTTCATCAAACTCAGAAGCAATTCTAAAGGTTGCAAGCAGCTGCAAAAACCCTTCTGCTTCCAATGAATTTTCATTGGCAGCATTAATGCTTTCCCCAGCCAATTTAAGTTTCCACTCATTGGCAATAACTTTCGCCTGCTGCTGGGTTTCAGGGTTAAGAAAGACATCCATGGCACAGTCAGCCTTTGACAAAAAGGCAGACAAGGCTTCCATAAGGATTAGACAAGACTGACGCATACCATGAAGGGCAGCATCTCTAATATCCACTTCTTGGGTCATTTCTTTGGGAGGGAAAAATCCCGCCAGTGCATCAAGCACCAAACGTGCTGGCTCAGTCGCACTACCGAGTGCAACTGACAGCTGTTCCTTCCAAAGAGAGGAAAGGTTTTCTAGGTTCTCCATGACAAAGTTCAAAAGTCCTAAGGAATCCATCTGCTCACAAAATTGTGTCAGCTCTGCACAAGGATTAACCTCGGCAGCAACACCTTCAACATTTCCCCCCATTTTATGAGGAGGTTTCCGTTCTTGGGTGTCAATTGATGCATTTTCATCATCAACAAAGCTGCTTACCTTATGGTTGTCCCTAGCTTTAGTGATTGCAGCCACAGCAGCATCTTTTAGTTCCTGCACCTGATCTAACAAATCTTGCTCCTTAGCCACAACTGCTGCCTCTTTCTCAGCAAAAAGCATGTGATAGTGAGATTCCCTAGCTGTGAAATCCTTTTCTTTGGCTTCAAGTTCTTCAAATGTCTTCTTCGTCATTGACTCCAAGTTACGGAAATGTGCTTCAACATCATTCCATGGAACCTGAGTGCTGAAAGTTTCGTTATGAGTTTCCAGCTCACTTAATGCCTTCCCTAGCTGTTCTAGCAGAGATGAGCTCAACTCAATAGAGGATGTCATATTGATCTCAACCATTTCTTCTGTATCACCCATTTCTGTGTAACCGTTCGCCAGGGCTGCAATATGAAGATAATCCATATCAAAATACAAGATGCATGAATAGATTAAATACAAAATTGCAAATATATTTGCCTTACACACCAAAACTTTCATTGCTTCATCAGATATTCAGATGTCACATCATTATGCTAGAAAGAAATTATTTCTAGCTGAGTACGAAACACCAATATTTAGGCTTGTTTGGCCCCTGATTGTATTCTACTTGATCGCTAAATCATGAACCATCGCTATTCCCTTTAAAAAGGCATGGTTATGGGTCTACCGTTTAACTTGTTTATTTTATATGTTGAGCCTATATAGTTTAATTATAGAGGAACAAAGTAATTAACTAACTTTTTTTAAAACTATATCGTCTATATGTGTGCAAAGAAGCCAAGGATCATTAATGGAAGTTGGTGCAACTATTGTCAGAAACCATTGATTCTTCAAAAATCTCTATCCTCATTTACACCACTCTTTAACCATTTATATGCCTATTTGAATCACATTTTAATTACCATAACTAGACAAATGAACACCTCGGCCATTTCTATGCTACCAAACTAGCCATGAAAAATTTTAGGAAAAAAATAAAATTTCACCTCCACAATCCTTACTCACACTAAGTCATTACCAAGGTGCTTCTCTATATTCAACCTGATAAACCACTACCATACACACCTCTAAAAGGGATTCTTTTAAGACGAGGCAGGAAAAGGAGGTTAAAGGTTTGTTGCCGTGCAACAGAAGATATGCTAATTTCAATATATGCATATCTCAATAGAATAACCCCTTAAGTTAAAAAATTCTAAAGGGATTTTGTAGGAGTACACTAGTATTTTTGGATTGAGACTTGCATCATTCCAAAAATCTCAGATATTAACTAGTTAATCCTCTTCGCCTCACCAAAGATCACAATATTCATACATAGCGGTAAATTAACTTCTAGAGCAGTTTCTTAGCAGATTGTATAAGTTATACCGTTTTCTAATTTACAATCATCATAAATGTTAAACCTAAAACATACCTAAGCTTCAAAGTACAAGAATCACAAACTTTAATGTTCAATTTAGTTGTAGATTGAAAGAGGTATTAATTCAATTCTTCAAAAAAGTTCTCTAATTTCAGACATTGTTGAACAAATTAACATCCAACCCAACCCCATGAAACTCCCTCAAACAATCATCAAATTATTTGACAAAGCGATTAAGCATAAACAGATTATATGATAAATGAAAAAAAAAAAAAAAAAATTATCAAGAAAGAGGATTAATTAGAAAATCGTACCTGGATATAAGACAAATGTGAAATGAGCAGAGATTCAAGGTTGAGCGAATAGAGAGATAAGATTTTGATGAGGCAAAAGTGCAAAACAGATAGAAGTTTGTGGTTCCTAGAAATATCACGAATCAGAAACAATCGTTATTGTTTGTTTTGCGTTTCGGTCGAACAGTAGAACTAGAACATGTTTAAACCCTCGCCAAACAGCCACCGCTCTCCAGCTAAGCTAATTTTGTCAGTTTTGTACCTTTGTGCAACAATAACAAAATGATACTTATCCCTCCTTCCACGTTTCGCTTGGTCTAGGCGTAAGAAACTCTTTTTGTGCTTCAATTATAGATAGAGGCATAGAGCAAGGTATGGATCCGGCGAACATAAAGGCCAATCAAGCACGGCACAAAAAAAGTTTGACCCATCACAAGCCTGTAGTAACGTGAGAGGCTTATATGTGCTCATGTGCTATTCACATACATAAATTTTAAAATTTAGCACAAGTACGATACAAGCACAACATTCTAAATCTTCATATCAAGTTACATATTTCTAACCTAAGGCACATTGGCTTGGCCCTATTGGTCACAATTGTACTTGTACACTAGCCACCTAGCCATCACATTGCTTTTTGGACGTGATGGTTGATATAAGAGACATGTACTTGTACTAGATTTAAAAATTCTTTTAAAATAACCTATTCCAAAGGCCGTACAAATAATTGCATAGATGCTTGCATAGTATTCTCTCTCTCCCCTTTTGTTTGTTCTATAGGGTAAAGTTGTTTTTTTTTTTTAGTTGGAAGAAATTAATGAGAGAGAATAGTTGAGAAACCAAACGTAGAGATTTTGAGAGTAAATGTATGGTCCCTTACAACCAAAAATAATATGGAGCAAACTTAAAGGGACAAAACTGAAAAAAAATTCATTACTTTTTTTTTTTTTTTTTTTTTGACAAGGAAAAAAAATTCATTACTTTGTATTACTCCGTATAATGTTCCTCATTTTTTAGTGTTGAAAGTTAACATTTTTATGTTGATGCTAAGTGAGCACTGTAGATCAAGTTCTCAGTATATGCAAATGCTATATTTTTTTCAAATTACTCGGTATACCATCAGACTTAAAAAGAAGAGAAGTATTGAACCTAAACAATGAGTAAAAATTGAAGCTAAGCATGTGAATAAAAAGCACACTTGCTTCCACTTTAGTCTTCTGAGATCAACAACTTCCACAGGTATACAGAGAGGAGTTATCTGCTGGTTGGCAATGATGGTCATACCACCTGCAGCAACCCTTGCAGTACATTGTAATAATATTGTGCTCACTATACATATTGCTGAAAAACTACTTGTATTACAAATTTACTGAAACATAGAACTCCCTTTTTTTTTTTTCTCCTAATAAGTAAGGTAGCGCATGACCACTGTCAGGTGAAACAATATGTTCTACTTGACTTCATATGGCAGTATGGCACAACGAAATACAAATAGGCCTCGAGAGAAGGCAGGCCTAAATTCAGTTTCATACCTTCAAAAATAGAAGAAAGATAGAAATACAGTAGGCCAAGTCCTAGATTTGTACAAATCTGGCCCTTCAATAATTAGGGTGGAAATCAAAATTAAAATGAACCACACTCAGCCTGGAAGACGAACATGCATGGAACGCGAGATAACAGTAGATTGATTAGTTGTTCTGTTAGGTAATTGGTATCCCCCTTTTATTTTGGCCCTTTGCTAATCAACGGGGGTGGTGCACAGTAAACATGGAATTAGTTTACAACGGTCACAACATTCTTCGACTTACTGGAGCTAAACCAAGATGAGAAGGTAACACTCCTCCAAATCAAATATACGACAAATGCGATATATGCAGCTGTGAAAACGCTTACTATGGAGCCAAACAACAATCCTCTTGCTTCCCCGGAGAAAAATTCTACCATCAGATACCCATTGATCACAATCACCAGGGCTGCTACAAGCCAAGCCAGTGTCTGTAAACAGAAAAACAAATGGAAAGCTACATGCTTAGCTTTTGAAGAAAACATGAAGAACTACCTGATATGATTCTGAGGAACATATATAAAGACCTACAAAAGCCTAGAAACAGCTAGAGTGATTATTAATACTCAGCAGAGCATAGCAGACCACAGCAGCTCAAACGAGCAAGGCCTTACTTGCGCAGAGTTATGTAAAAAAAAAAGCAATTATTGAACTAGTAATTATTATTTTAACAACTTCAATTCATTTCATTCTCAAGTTATACTCACTTATTCTAAAATTATCAGGGTCACGCTGACACCTCAGCAAGCCAGGGTCTGCAGAATATGTTAAAGGCCTATTGGTAGCAGGACAAATATTAAGAAATTGAATGATTGTTTTAAGTGAAGTGTCGTGTTCACAAATAGCAAATCTAATTAGTTAAATTAAGCAAATATGTCCAGAAAAGCACGAGAAATAAAAATAAACCAAAACCCTGGCTGCCAAGCAGAGTAAAGCTAGATTTAGCATACCTTGAGAACAGGACCGATTTTAAAATCACCCATGACATCCTCTTTGGAAACCAAGTGTTTGGGTCCAATTTAGTCCAATTGGACTTAGGCATTAAATGATCCAATTAAAAGCCCAAGGTCAAGGTTCATCTCTCCAATTATGCTAAAGTCAAAGATCAGTCCTCAAGGCACGCCAATTGGGCTAAGGCCCAACTTCTCCATGTATGAAGAGGTATAAAAGCCATCAATATTACATTTGTACATTCATTCAAGCAAAGCCTCAAGCAACTAATTCTCTTGCATAGTCTTCTCTTTCAACACACTGTACTGACTTTAGCATCGGAGGGGTCTTCCTCGGCAACACCCCCGAGGCTAGTTTATGTGTGTTTACTGTGCAGGAAACCTTCGGCCCAACATTACTTGGATCGAATCTAGTCTTCTCCATTTCATCGGACCTTCGGCAAGGTCCCATTGTTTTCACCCGAAACAATTTGGCGCCGTCTGTGGGAAGACTTTCAAAAATCTTTAAGCCAAATTTCTAACCAAGATCATCTTGCAATTATCTTAGTAGCAATGGCTAAGAACCGCAAGAGCAAAGGCCTCCGTCAAGGAGCGGGCGAAAAGCCTAAAACCCCTACACCATCACCCTCGCCGGACCGGAACTCTCCCAAGGGTGCCAGCTTGGGGGGAGGATCATACAGGGAGGATTCCCTTTCTCCCGTAATTCATGACTCTCATCATAGGCCGAGTCACTCTCGGTCTAGCAGGGGTGAGTCCGATCATAGGACACATTCAGTGCCCCAAAGCCAACCATCGACTGTGCGCCCTCATTCCCATACTCGGCCGAGGACCCCTTTGACGGGGCCCAGCTCGGAGGAGGTGGCAAGAGCGCTGGCAGTGCTCATGGAGGCGATGAGGGCACAAAATATGCCACCACCCCGTGATCGAACTCCTCCGCATACCCGGCATCAGCGGAGGAAGCTAGACCATGATGGTGGGAAGCTTCCTTCCTTCCGGGAACTGGAAGAGTGGGAAGAGGATACCTGGAAAAATGAAAAAGAGAGGAAAAAGAACCCTCAATTTTTAAAAGGATCCTCATCCTCCCGACCAGAAACGCATAAGAGCAGCAGCTCAGCTTCTCGGCCAGAATCTACTCACCGAGAACCTGAGACTGTTCGCCGAAGCGTCCTCGACCGACTCTGCGGCAAGGAACCGAGCGTGCGCAGTCGCCTCTCGTTCCCTGCGGCCGAGGCCCAGACTTCCCAGCCAGGGACGAAAACCACTCCTACCTCTCTAAGAGGGCGGAGCGCGGTCCCTTCGGCCAGGAACAAGGGCAAGGCCGTTATGCTACCCGCCAGTTCGCCATTCGAGCAATGGATATTGGAAGAGCACGTGCCCACGGTTAAAATACCGTCGCACATCACATATGACGGGACCTCGGATCCGAAGGACCACGTGGCCTCGTATGAGACTCATATGCATCTTTGCCCCAGATCCGAAGCGACTTGGTGCAAATATTTCCCAACCATTCTCAAGGGGGTCGCGCAAGCGTGGATCTCCAAGGGAGTAAAGCAAGGCTCCATAACAGGGGTAGGATAATCTGTCCTCCAAATTTAGGAGCAAGTTTTCCACGGCAAACCGCCGAGAGAAGACTACTGCAGAACTCATGAGTCTGCAACAGGGGGAAACCGAAAGCCTCCGAGACTATCTGACCCGTTTCAGTAACGAGTCATCCAGCGTCTCTCAGCTGGACCAGGGGCTAGCCGTTTTTGCAATGCAGAATGGCCTTCAGCCCGGGAAGTTCCTAGACTTCATGGTCATGCATACCCCGCAGACCTTGGAGGAAGCTCTGAATGCCTCGGATAAGTTCATCCGAGCCGAAGAATGGAACAAAGCGAAAACCCAACCTCAATTCGGGGGAGGGAAACAAAGACAAATACCCTTGTCTGAAGGCCAAGGCCATAAGGCAAAGGGAAAGTCAAAGGCCTCGGAGCAATCTTCGGCCAGCGACCCAAAGAAGGAAAAATCTGCCTCATACACAGGCATATACGAGTCCTACACTCCGCTCTCTCTTCCACGCGCCAAAATTTACAGCGTGACGAAGGAGGAGCAGAGTTACCGAAAGCCGAGACCACTCCCAGAGTGGTATCAGCGAAAAAATAAAAATCAGTGGTGCGAGTTCCACGAGTCTCCGGGACACAACACTGAGGAGTGTATCCAACTGAAGGACCAGATAGAGGACATGGTCCGGAAGGGATACTTGAAAAAATACATCGCGGATCACCGCGAGAAAAAAGAGTCCGAGAAGTCAGCAAAGGACTCTCGGCAAGACCTCGACTTCCCCCAGAAGAACAGTAAAAAGCCGGAGGGGAAATTCTCTCCGATCAATGTTATCTCGGGAGGAATATGCTCTCGGAAGGAGCACAAGCGACACCTTAGGGCTTTGACTCACCAGGTGAACAACGCTGACATTCAGTCTCCCCAATCGCCGGTGCCGAACATGACGTTCACAGCCGCCGACTGCCGGGGGATAACGTTCCCTCACGAGGATCCGTTGGTGATCATCGCCACGGTGGCCAACCACGACGTCAGTAAGGTCCTTGTTGACGGTGGCAGCGGAGCAAACATTCTGTTCTGAAAGGCCTACAATCAAATCAAGCTGAAGCCCAAGCACCTTACGCCGGTACCCTACCCGGTATCCGGGTTCAACGGGGCTTCAACTTATCCAGATGGGAAGGTGACACTTCCTATCACCATCGGCTGCGATGAGGCAGCCAGGAATGTCATGATTGAATTTTTGGTCATTGACGCTCCTTCAGTGTACAACGTGATTTTGGGGAGACCCATAATTCATGAGATCCAAGGGGTCGTCTCAACTTATCATCAGCTGATGATTTACGTCTTAGACGCCGGCTTCCCCGAAAGGATACAGGGCAACCAAAAGGACGCCCGAAGGTGCAACTACCTCAAGCCATCCAGTAGTCGCCCAGATGACGACAAGGATGAGGAGGAGAAAGAAAAAGAAAGAGAGCCAAGCACAAAAAAGCCGAAAGGCCTAAGTGCTTCGGCCCAAGAATCTGAACCCAGAGGTAAAGGGCCCGAAAGGGAAAAGGCTAGCTCTTCAGCTGAACAGCAAGACTCAGAGAGCCAGCCGAAGAACAAAAAGACTGGGACACCTGCTGACATAGGCAACAGGCCAGATTATGAAGAGTCCAGTCCATCAGCAATGGACATGGACCGACAGACTGAAACAGTTGAGTTGGCCGAAGGAGACGTTGAGAAATGTGTAACAATCGGGATGGACCTTGATCCGAACACCCGTTGTGAACTTATTCAGCTACTTCGGGACAACAGAGATGTGTTTGCTTTCTCGGCAACTGATATGCCCGGGATAAGTCCAGACCTCATCTCCCATAAGCTTAATGTTGACCCAACGTGTCG